TGTAAATGACAGAGAGAGAGCTGTTTAGCTGGGAGTCCATCAGGGAATAAGACATGTTGTGCAAACTGTGTCACCTGGAGAGAACAAGGGAAAAAGTGTGGCACCACCCATCACAAGCCTGTCAATGTGGACAGATCTGGATTCAGAAGATCCCAGCAGCTTTCCTGGATGCATGGTATGACAAAAACAAAGCATGCAGATACATGTTGTATACTTTGAGGACTGTTGTGCAGACTGTGGCACTTGGAGAGACAAAGAATGAGCTCGTCACCATGCAGCCATTACAGCCAGATGAACAGGCCTGTTTGGTGTTATTTACAAGCTATAGCTTGTACTAATCTAAGAACTACAAACTGTGTCAGCTGGGGAGGATGGCGAGACTGTTCTGCCACCCATCGAAACCACAGCTAGACAACCTGCCTGCACAGCTGGTGCTCAGTTCACAAGTCATGGACTATAGTGAAAGTTTCTGAGAATGAGAGTTTTGTCATGTGGGAGACTTTCTGTGATAGCCATGATGGTGCCCATAGATGGGCCATGAGGCACTGAGACATGCACCTGCAGAGAAAAGGGAAGTTTGTGTCAGCACCAAACACAACCAGACAGCCAGGCCAGACTGGTATGGTGCTATTTTTTGTTTAGATTTCCAGGTGACAATGTTAAGCATGCTAGATAATACTAAACAGAAACAGACTTTATTCAGTTGTGACATCATTACTATAACACACCACTATGTGCGTCCTCCATTTAGAAGAAAGCAACCAGGTTAAGGCTGGGCAGTCGCTGTAATGGCTCAGAAAACAGTAGACCCTACTGCACGACTCAGAGACACCAGGTAAAAGTCCAAACTGGTGAGTTTTGTTGAAAGAGATACAAATGTAGGCATAAAAGGAGGGAATGGTGTGGGACAAAATCAGCAGGCAGATGGATGTCAGCAACAGGCAGACAAAAACACCCGGAAAATCAAGAAGGCACACTTTGAAAAAACCTGGAAAGCTACAGCTGAGATGGCATGACTGACAGTGAGGAGCTAATGACAGGATGGGGGACAGGTGCATAGGAGGAAGTGGGGACCAGGTGACGCCAAGGTACATCAGGGCAGAAAGGAGTGGCAGGTCATGACGTGACAGGAGAGGTAGTGGAATAGGAAAGAAAGCAGAGAATGTGTTGTCACAATAAATGAATTGTGATACTGTTTGTATTAACCCACTGTACATTTTATTTGATCTGAGTCAGCATTTCTACACAAAAAGAACCTGCAACTTTTATAGTTATGCTGTGATGGTCAATTAACTCACACTGTGAACGTAAGCAAGGACTCCCAGAAGGTGCTGTTCATGGATAATTCCAATAAATGTTAATAAAACAAGACGATTACTCAGTCTTGACAAAAAGAGAGAATGGCAGCAATCCTTTGTGCAATTGCACTATGAATAGAAACTAAGAAGAAAAAACAACAACATATGCATGAAAGACGCCAACAGTACGGTGTCTGTTCTTCAGCAACACAGTTTCAGTAAGACACAATCCAAGCAGCTGTCTGACAGCCAGATCACTGATTGTTCAGGTGATTAATCAAACGTTGCAATCCCCACCCTCGTCATTGCTTATTGGGTCACTTGAATAGAACAGAACCATTAGTAGTTGCACCTTTGCATTTTCTACTATGATGAGTCAAAATGTCAAAAGTGAAACTTCAACATAAAGCATGAAGGATCACACAGTCCTCTTTAATAATGCACAGTGGTCAAGACAAAAAACATGACTGCTGTTCTTTGTTTGTCAAAATATTGTCAATACACGTGTATTTTGTAGAACCAGAAGAGACTTGAGTACATGTGGTTTTGTAAAGCACAGGTTCAGTTTGAAATGGTCCTTTGTGTTTTTTTAAGCTTTGGTATATTATTTCCTGTGTTACCTCAAACCTCTATATCACAATATAATGATAGACAATATAACATATAGGTGTGTAAGCTAGGATCAAAAACATTACCTTTGCAGGTAATGAATCAACCTTTCACTTAACTTTCTTAGACAATGGAATTTTTTAAGGTGCCTTGAATCCCCCATGGTTTGAGTTCATACTTGTCTGAAATGTTTTTGCATTAACAATGGCTTTGTTTCCCAGTTTACATCATGTATCTTTTTTCTTTGCTTTTTAACTCTAGATGATTTAACACTTAGAAACCCAAGTGTAATCCTCACAATGCTAAAAACATTCTTTTCAGCCTAAACGTAAATCTACTGGTAGTGCAAGGCGGGAGCCCTTATTGTAGGTTGCTATCAAGACGCTGACTGAGGTGAGATCATCTTGTGTTTTAATACCATGAGGGGATGAGAGGTGTTTTGGGCCATGGCTGTAACCAGAGACTGTGTGTGTCACCACCCATCACAACTGCAACCACTTCCCAGGGAAACTGCCTGCACAGATGTGGCCTTTATGCAATTTCCACTTTGTGCATGGTTACAGCACTGTTGTCTTATCACAAGAGAATTTTGTAGAAGTGCTACTAATGCAGGTCTTTATCTACCAACTCTCAGTTTCTCTCCTGAACTGCACACACGTCATTTAGTCAAAAAGTAGACCGCTGGAGTAAGCAGTCTGATCTCCATCTCTACACTGTGTAGCCACAACAAACAGAAAGGTTCACCTATTCAGCTGTAGGTTAATGAGTCTCTGGTTGCTGAGCCTCCGTCCCCAGTTAGCAGCGCTATAAACCTTTGAGGAAGTAAAGCCAGAAGGGCCATCATTACAAATTTGGGGGCAGTGTACATACTGTATCACTGACTGGCAGTAGACATCACACTTAAAAGACATTTACAAAAAGTTACTGAAGGAGAAAAAAATCTCTCTGGCTACCATCGACTGTCATCTCATACTGTGTCATATTTGTCTGCAAACTATTTATTGTGGAGCAGTTTACATACTGATGAGGAAGGTGAAATGAAGTGGATGCCACAACACAGCTAATAAGCTCCAATAGTTTCCCTTAAAGGTCAGCACAGTCAAGACGTTGTTGAGTGGCACATATTTGCAAGCTGAAGTTTGCCTAGATTCATCCCCACAGAAGAATCACAACAATTATATTAGAATAAATCAATCTGGCTGCAAAAAAAAAAAAATCCATTTGAAATGATGATGTGCCCCAGGCCAAATTCAACAGAGGCATTTGAGTTTCCAAAAAAATGTAATCAACATTTCTGTGGAAACAAAAAATGAATAATTTTATATAAAAAAATATTTTATATGGAAAAACTATTCTTGGCAGCAGGCTTTTTCAGCCATTAGACTTCAATGTGCCAAGCCAAAACTGAAGATAGAGTTTCGAACTTTCTGTTTTATTATGGGCATAAATGGTCAAAGTGGTAGCATTTGTGTCACTGCTAAGGCTAAACTGGGTAGTACTTTTCACTCAGGCCTCGTCCGTCATCTGCTTGTCATGGGCTGGAACGCTGGCACTATGTTGCTAGTGAAAGGGCTACCATCAAAGATTCATACCAGTGACCTCTTTGAAGTTGCCCCTGAACCAAACATTTTTGTGCACATTACTGGGCAGAATAGTCACTTCCCATGGCAACAGAAAACAGAGAGACAGTGGGAGGAAGATGGAGAGAGGAGGAAAAGACCTATTTAAAGCCACTTAAGCTTTTCAATATTCATGACAGAGGAGGCTGTGGTGGTTCCCATAAAGTTTGGGACATTAAACCTCCAAAGAGGCACTGAGGTGGGTGTCATCCCTACTTCACTCAGACCTTAGGGCCCCATATGTATCCTAGATGGAAAACACTGAGCTGAGAGTGGCCTCGGTGTTGTCTTGGCAACCTGCCTGAGAAGAAAGAAAGAAAGAAAGAAAGAAAGAAAGAAAGAAAGAAAGAAAGAAGAGATGAGGAGAGGAGGGGAGTTCGGTTTGAATGGATGCGCGCCTGATGTGTGGCGCCAGGCAGTCTGCCCGGCGGGGCAGCTCAATATGCGGCTGTAGGGAGGGAGCGCCGACGCGGCCCGGAGAGCGGAGGAATGTACAGGCACAACAACACAGTGCTGGTGAAGGAATACCAAGGAGGCGCCGCCAAATTGGCTGCTCCCCTAGAGCTGCAGCCCTGCAGTCAGGGCTACGAAAATACAAACATTTGTTATATGAAGCCATAATGCGATTTATTCGGTCAAAGATGATGATTAAAATTATATGCTGAAAAGCCCATTGCCCCTTATGAATTATTAGTAAGAAAACGGACCAAATACGTGTCATTACAAAAGGGTCATTCACTGAAGTATGCAAAAATAACACTGTAAGAATAGAAATAGGCGACAACAAACTCCTTTCACTGCAACAAACCTACACACCACAATGGAAGTGTAATAGTGTCAAAGTGAACAGCCATCCGTGAATTTCACAAGTAAATTGCAAGTGCTAAAAAAGATTTTATTATTATTGGCATTGGTTTGTTTTTGTATTGATCACCTAAAATATTTGGGTGAAGTTTTGATTTCATTTTCCAGTGAGGCAGGTTTTATCTCAAAGCAGGTGGTTCGGCTCGGGATGATCTGTCACTGGACAAATCAATAGCAGCCAGGTTATGCGCAACTACGCACCAGTGACTTCAACACTAAAGATGCAACCCGAAGCTTTCCATCATGGTGAACTGTACAAACAATAGCATCACCTCTGGATCAATCGGAAGACCTTCGATAACGCCTCTTTCCTTCTATTTTTCTGTCGCTCACTCACTCTCTCCCTCCCTCACACACACACACACACACACACACTCCTACCGACAGGCAGCCCACCGCAGCGCGCACAGAATGAGACACGCCTTTTTCTCGGCCCCCTCGACGCGTCGGTGGGCAGACGG